AAAATGAATATACTGAGTTTAAGTCTATACAAGTTCCTCCTTTTGTGGCAAATAAGGCTTTGTACCTGGAAAGTTTAGTTTCTTTGAAGATTTCGTGGGATTGACTAGGTAGCAATTTCTAGTAGTATTAATTGAAGAATATTATTGTCATTGTTTCTGTTTGATTTGTGGATAATGGTATATAGTAGCAAGATTTGAATGTAAAAATATGATGTTGAATTTCTACACAACAAGTCACTGATTTTGTCTGACTATCACCGTAACTTGTTTTTAAGACGACTCTTATAGGCTATAGGATTGCTAATAGAATGCCTTGCCTATTTGTTCAACTTTATACAAGTTTAAGTGTCTTCTTTTGCAAGCTCAAAGTTGGAGGGCATAAATGTGAGTAGACGTAAGTTAAAGATCATATGTATGTATGGCATAATACATAAATAAACCTTTTAACTTGGCCTCAGACACTTAAACTCTCATAAAATTGAACAAGTAGACACATGAGTCCAATTATGTGACATAATATACGTAATACGCAAATTCACATGTAGAACACATGACTATTAACTTCATATATGGGCAGTAGAGTTTAATCTCATATCAAGTTCTAACACCTGCTAGAGTATAATCTCATATCAAGTTGTAACACCTGCTAATTGCATGTAGTAGACAAGCAGTTAAGTATTTGTTTCCTCGAATCCCACGGCAGCTTACACACAGTAGAGTTTAATCTCATATCAAGTTGTAACACCTGCTAATTGCATGTAGTAGACAAGCAGTTAAGTATTTGTTTCCTCGAATCCCACGGCAGCTTACACACAGTAGAGTTTAATCTCATATCAAGTTGTAACACCTGCTAATTGCATGTAGTAGACAAGCAGTTAAGTATTTGTTTCCTCGAATCCCACGGCAGCTTACACACAGTAGAGTTTAATCTCATATCAAGTTGTAACACCTGCTAATTGCATGTAGTAGACAAGCAGTTAAGTATTTGTTTCCTCGAATCCCACGGCAGCTTACACACAGTAGAGTTTAATCTCATATCAAGTTGTAACACCTGCTAATTGCATGTAGTAGACAAGCAGTTAAGTATTTGTTTCCTCGAATCCCACGGCAGCTTACACACAGTAGAGTTTAATCTCATATCAAGTTGTAACACCTGCTAATTGCATGTAGTAGACAAGCAGTTAAGTATTTGTTTCCTCGAATCCCACGGTAGCTTACACACAGTAGAGTTTATGACTACATTGGTATTGGTTATATAGCAAAATCAGAAGATACAGCCTTTCCATTTACAAGGACTTGTTCCACATTATTGACTCGCACAGATTGGAATTGATAGTGCTGCAGTAAAAATAACAATTATTAGTAAGGACTGACAAAACTTGGCTGACTGATTAGTGTATGGAATATTGTTCTTCTAGCACTAAACCTTTCCAATCAGTCACAATCAAGAAAAGGAGAAAATGATGGAGAAAGCAATATGGCATATTTGGAATAGCATTGGATGTGAAATACCACAGATATTATATAATGAGTTTACCTTTTCCTTCCATTTAAAATCTACAAATTTGCAGAAGGGCTCCAATAGTGTGACCTGATCTCCTTGTTTAATCTGTCAACAAGAGTAGTTCGTTAAGTAATGATGTGAAAGTCTAATGGGGAGCTGGATAGCCAATACTTACAGAAACTCACTCTATGATGAGTTGATGTTAACCATGACTGTCATGACTCATAGTTCTTGTGTCATTTTTCATTTCTTTCCTTTTTCTCCTTCCACAATCAGTAATTCATAGACCATGCCTTTCCTAGAAAACCTTTATTTATGTTACCTTATTATCTGCTTATTTCATTTTAGTATAGGAATATGGTAGGCTATATGTCACCACAACAATCTGAAGTAGGATAAATATTCAAAGATATGACATTTATTCACTAGATAATAATTGGGTGGGGCTGACACAAACCAAAATCAGATACATATATAAAGAGATGATATTCAGGCTCACTTATGAAGTGGTAAATGTTATCTTCTTTAATTACATACAGTATTAAAGAAGAGAGGTTCCCTTTAATCTAGTTTTTCATCTAGGAAGTGCAAAATCCTTCGCTTATTTTTTAGGCATGTTACTGCTGCAACAGTATAGCAGCAAACTTATCTGTTGATTTACTTATCTTGGTTACTCCAAGATACTCTACTTTACCAGACAACTTTTTTCTAGGAATTAAGATTTCAACAGATGTACCAAGAAACATTAAAACAACATAATGTAGTGCTTACCGCTTCTTCCTGTATCCCAAACACTAGAAGGACAAAACTGTTCTCATCGGAGTCACAGAGCACATAGTATCTGTTTGAATGAGAGTACACATTGAGAAATAAGTATTTAAGCTTAAACTAGGGCTGCTCAGCCTAGTAACTTCCCACTTTTAAAAGAAATGCTCAAAATGATCATTGATTCTTCTAGATGAAGCAACTTACAATGGAACACCATACTCATACTTAACCAAGCACCGGACTACTCCCATAACTGCAAGCCCTTTGTTAGGGCCTTCAGCTAAGACATCCAAGGTTGCTTTGTTGTAGGAAGGATCCACTGCCAGAAAACACATTACCTCAACTAAATAGATAAATAGATAAATCAATGTTTATAGTTAAATTATGAATAATGTAAAGCCTTACAATCAATATCATCAAGTGACTGGATCAGGGAAGCAAAGCTTGTCTCCGTACTCTTTCCCTTACTCTTTCTCTTGCCCTTTCCTTTACTCTTTGCCTTACTCTTCCCCTTTCTATTTTCATTGCTCTTACCCTGAAAAGCAGGATCACATAATTTAAATGCATCCTTCACAATGTCATTCATAATCTCTTAATGACTCAAAAGAAGAAAACATTTAAAAACTAAGAATCTAAGGCATTATTTTTTAGAAGACTATATCATAACATTCATGTTTCTTGAAAGAAAATCAAGAAATGAAAGCAGAAGAAGGCATCATGTTTCATTACCTCATCTTGTTTTCTTCTAGATATGTCTTATGCTTAACAGTTAGAATTTTTTTCCAAATGGATACCTTGAGACCTTCTGCAACTATTTTGTATGTAGTAATAAATTTTCCTTTACTCTTTGTTAATATTATTTATATGTAGTAGTAAGTGAAAAGAATTCAGAAAAAGTAGGAGAAACTGAACCGAGCTTTCTGGGGCAGCCATAGGATAGTTACCAAGTTGATCAATTGTATTACCAACTTGAATATTCCTATCCAAATAGCTCTTAATTCCACATATTCATAGCTTCCTATTGCAATTCCCTAGCCTCTACTTGTTTAGCAATATTCCCAAAATCAATCAATCAACTGCACTTCAAACTTACACATTAAGTCAATTTTAGAAAGCATGACTATTTTTTGGTGTTTTCCTGTCATACCATAAAATCAAATTTCATGTTACATCTGTCCCCCTAGCTATCATTAGTACAATGTTACCAAAAGGACTACCTCATCATACATTATTTTAAATCAGGAAACAGAAAGCATTCCCTGGTAACTCTGATGATGAAATCAGTGTTTAAACAGGTAAATGTGATCACATCAAAGCACTGCACTATGTCATGTTGGGAGTTTGACAAGTTAGATGTGCAATCGCAAGGAGTGCGACTCCTTGAATACCTCTTGTAAATAGTTATCACTGGCCTGCACTTTGAATATAACTGGAAACAATGCACCTTTGATCACACACAATTCCCTTATGATTCTAAATTTCTAATGTCGTCAACCATGCCGTTCCTAATGCAACTGATCAGAATATCACTTACAGATCCTTCATATGAAATAACCACAATCAAATAATCTTACCTGAACTAATTCTTCTAGTTTGTCAAGAAGCTGAACTGTTATTTCCACTTGATGTGACGCATCATGGGCAGGATCCTTCTCTACAGCATCTGATAACCTAATGAGGGACTTCTCGTAGTTCTCCAGAAGCCTGTTCGCCTGAATGTACAATTGTTTGGATTTACTCAACATGGCATTGAATTTAAGAAAGGCGGAAAGTGAAGACTATATTTAAGATATCATGATATATGCAAACATAAAATGTGAAGATGAATATAAGTGAGCTTATTTTAGTGACTCTTGGTTCTTTCTTCACTAAGCATATGAACTTTCGAGCTTTAAAAAAGTTGGACAAGAATAAGCACAGAAAAAAGTTTTCACATAGGCAGGCAGATACTGCTGAAGCCAGTTCTTTTTAATAAGTCTGTCTTTCTAATTTGAATTTTTACTTCCCTATTTAAACACTTGTTCTTCTAGATAGATTATTTCGTCCTTAACTCAATTCAACATGTCACTGATCTCTGCAGATCTTGTAATAGTCATTTACTGATTTTTTCTCTCCGGGAGACATAGACGTGATACTTAACTCCTAGAAAAAGGTAATTAATTCAATGAGAAATTACCTGTAAAATTTCCTGTGCTTCCTTTAAGTACATCCTGTGTAAGTATCTCCTATTTTACAAAGAATTCTTCTATTTCAAATCATGTCTTTTTCATTTAGTTTACCGACTTTTGTCTTATCTGTAAAGTTACCAGTGTCTTCTTCTTGAGTGGTTTCATTCCTTTGGATCTTTACATGTCAACAAAGATCCTAATGATTCTCAAATTCTGAGAGACCCAAGCAAAAAATAAAATTAGAAAAAACAGAGTTGCAAACTTGATACATGGTCTCTTGTCTTTTTTTTCTCCAATTCTTCAATAGCACAATCATGAAAATATGAGGCTATAATTAGCAAGAATCGAAGCCACAATCGCATTGAAAATCCCATATGATAGAATAGTTCATCAGTAAAAACCCAATATTTTTCTTCAAAAACTTAAGAGGCCACACTCGCATTGAAAATCTGGCTCTGACTTTATTGTATCAATTCTTTCCTGAAATGGGGTAGAAAATCAGAAGAAACTCCCAAATCTATAAAAGAACAAACCAGCCAGGCTTACAGGGAGCTAATACTGTACATCTAAGTTTAATGTTAAAATAAAGGAAAACTATGTACAGAGACAAGATTGTCAGAACTACTGTCACGACCCGAAAATGGACGTGATGACACTCGTCTTAACCCACCAAGACAAGTCAGCCTAAAACTCAACCATTACAATAAAATGCGGAAATTTTTATAATAAACTCAAATATACCCCAAAATCTGGTTGTCACGTGTACAAGCCTCTAAAGTATTATAATAGAATCAAAAGAAAAATACAAGTCTCATATAACATTGTTTCTAGAGTAGAACAAGATCATAAACAGGAGTAAGAAGGATCGCTGAGAAGACAAACAACTACCTCACAAATCTCCCAGAAGCCTAAAAAAAGAAGAGAATAACAAGTACCACAAAAATCCAGGCTCGTAACCTACAAAAATTTGTAGAAGCAAGGGGTGAGTACCAAACCACACGGTACTCAGCAAGTAAACCTCTAAACACGAGCTAAGGGGATAGAATACAAGTACTCCTTACACCCCAACCGAACCTTCACAACTACAATCTGTATAAAACCAGCCCAACCTAACAGTTCACAATTTACAA